TCTGCCCCGACCCCGCCGCAGAGCCCGCCGCAGTCTCCAGGGAGCAAGCAGCAGCAAGGAGAGAGGGAGCCTCGGCCGCCACGGCCTCTCCCCGCCGCGGGAGCGTGGCCGGGGGCTGCCTCCCCCCCGTGCTGAACACCTGCGCCTCGACAAGAGCCCGTCCTTTGTAAGGACCGCAAAGCGTTGTCAGCAATCGCTGTTACTCTTACACGGACAGATCATCTATCTATCATCTTTGAGCATAGTCTAAATACATAAAATCTAATACAAGTGGGCTTAAGTTACATGCAGGTGCACAGTTCCAGCAGGGTTATCATCAGCTTCCTGCGAACCTGTTTTATCTTCATGCTCTGAGGCAGCTAACTGGCAGTGTATTGCATATCCATAATTTCCCAGAGAAGCGTGTCTGTGGTCAGGAGACGTGTGACCAGGCTTGCAAAAACTTGGACCAAATTCAATCCTCTAATATAAATATTCCTGTTACTATGTTCGTAGTAGTATCTTCAGACTAATACAGAAACCTGATGTAAAATACATAGTGGTAGAGCAGGAGTGCATTAAGAGCAAACATGTTTCTGTTTATTTAGAAAGCATTAAGATTTTAATTGAAAAATCACTGAAGTTTTGATAGCATCCCCTTGTTTTGATACATGGATACATCACTCGATACAAGTGACACTATGCAACCCTTTGCATTCCTGGATCCCATTTCTTCAGGTTGTTTTGTTTTAAAGAACTTAGGTAGCAAAAATATTGCTTAGTGATTCACTTGGATTTTCAGTCAAATTAATTACAAAAAACTCTTTCCCCCTAGGAGAAAGACCAAGTTATAAAATGCCACAACTGCTGCTGTCAAGCATAGTAATTATGTGCTAAACTAGGCTAAATCGAAACCAGCATAAAATAGGAAATTTAAAGTGGATCCTGTCATTTACTGTGGTGTAATTAATTTACAATATTTTAATAATGAAAATTGCATTTTAGGCAATTGTTTGGCTGGACTAATGCTACCAGGGGAGAATTCTTTGTCAGCAGGTATCCATTTCAGCTCCAAGGAAATGTACGGCTATGGGTTTTCTCCCTAAAATGTAAAGATATTTTTGAAGCCACTCCCCATTCTTGTATACGTACAGAACACTCAAGTAAACAAAGTCTTTGTATTCAATATGAATGCAGCTATTGTTTCCAGCCCCTTTCTGCACACGTGCTTTCCAAGAAGCTCTTGCATTTGCTGCTGTGCAATGCAGCTCTCCCTGATACTGGCCAGCCCAGCTGCAGCTTTCCCCAAAGTGAAAGCAGCAGGGCTGTAGAAGTATTTCCAAATTTCCCCGTGCTGTGCCAAGCAAGTTACAAGGATGGCTGCAGAAAAGCATTGCATACCTATTCTCTTAATTTCACTTACTCTATTTTAAGAGCTTTATTCAATAGGCATTTGTGTCAAGCCAAAGCATGTAGACGCAACTAAATTTGTAAAAATGTGGATACTAGGGTAAATTTTTACATTACAGAAGGAAAATTCCTGCATTTTCCCATATGTACCAAGCTAGGTACCAAGCAAAACAGACACCTGGGACAGAAACAGACAAGAAATCCAGATATTTACTGGCATAGTAAATAATTAGTGTCTACATTTGATGTTGGCCTTGCAGAAACCTTTTAAATACGTATTTGTATAACTACCTGAAAACTTTATTTTCAATAAAATACATGAATCTATAGATACCCTCATCCTTTTTGCTTCCAAACTCACTGCCTCTATTCCCCGCTTATCAAATGCCTGATTGCTAGAAGGTTACATGCTACTCAGAGTAGTAGCTGCACTAACCTTTGTCTTGAGCTCTGAAACGTCAGCTCCAACAAAAAAAACACACACACAAATAATTTAAATTATATATGAGAGATGTGTGCAGTACTAAGGTTCTCCAACTTCTTGTAGAAACCAGAAGCTCTCCTATGCAATACTGTTTGCTCTGTTGTGTTTTTAAAAGAAGAGGAAAGGGAAAAATAAAATTTTATAAGTCAGAAGCTAAAAGTCTTGAAAACATACAAATAAGCAGTCAGTTATTATATATATTTATAAACAAAAAATGGAATACTGTTAATTCTTGTCTCTAATTGCAGAGATTGTACACGATGGCAGCAGCAGCAGTTCTGAGGCGATAATGAGGTTTGATATAAATGACTTTCTGGCTTGTTAGGACAGAGGGAGAACCTTGTGCATCCTCCACTAAAAACCTCACAAAACGAGGGGAGCTGACACTGTCATATACCAGGAACAATGACAAGCCTCGTGAGGCACCCTTGTATGCACTTTTATTTGCTTATTCTTAAAAAATGAGGGGAGGGAGGCTCAAATTCTACAGATATTATTTATGGAAGGACATTAGACAGTACTCAATTAAACATATTTCTTAACAAGATGCTCTCACATTTTAAAATGGCATGGATTCAAGAATGGAGACAGGTTCTGTGATGTTAATTTAAGAATCAGGTTTATGAGTAAAGAGCAAACCTTATATAGATAAGTAAAGACAAGAATTTTTTTGTTAGTATAATGAAAAAGTCTAATGCAGGAATTATCATTAGAATAGATCTAATTATTACACAAAGAGAATAATAATGCAGTTAAAATACTTATTTACAGAAAAAGCCATAATAATAGCAATATTATGGTTAAAATTATTACATCTGAATTTATATAGTGCCATTTATGTATGTTAGATACATTTTTTTTGATTTCTTTGTTACCCCTAAAATCAACTGTGCCAGCAATTTCTCTATTTGACTGTATCTAATTTGTTTCACTTTCATTTATCTTTGCACAGTACAACTGCAGTTTTACATAGCACCAATAAGCAGTTGTTCTAGGTTGGGATGAGATATTTAGGACTCTAACACAATGACATAGCACAGAGAAATACAGGTCTGGTGCAATAGCAGAGACCTCGCGATGTGGAGATGCAGGATGGGACATAGAGGAGTGCAGGCACAGGGCAATAATACGTGAATGTTATGCGAATGACACAATACCAATGAAGCAGAAACCTAAAGCCTGGTGCAAACTTGTGCAAAGATGCATCAGCAGAGGCAGGAGGGGGAACGACCCTTCCCGAGCCTATGCATGTGTCCTGGTTTTGGCTAGGATGGAGTTTATTTTCACCAGAAGCCAGGATGGGTGACCCAAACTGGCCCAGGGGGTATTCCATACCATACAACGTCATGCTCAGCACAAAAGAGAGCTAGTTGGGGAGGGGCGGCGTGGCTCTGGGATGGTCTGACTGTCATCGCATGAGAAACTGCATTGTGGCTCACCCCTTTTGTTTATTTTAAGTACTGTTGTTATTTCCCTCTCCTTTTGCTGTCCCAGGAAGCCATCCTTATCCCAACCCACGAGTTTTACCTTTTTCTCTGATTCTCCTCCCCATCCTGCCAGGGGGCAGCGAGCAAGTGACCTCCTGGGGCTCAGCTACAGGTAAACCATGACGGCATGATGGCCAGGTCAGCCTATACTAGCCTGAAATATTCTCCTTATCATAGATGCCTCTGGATTTGAACAAAGTAAACGGCGGGAGCTGTTAGGAGCCACATTCTCCACAACATAATGTAATGCATGGCATGGAGCCAGGCTGAAAATGCATGGCATGGAGCCAGCTCAGTGACTCAGAAGTTTCTATTACCCTGCTCGCGGTTGTTTCAGCTTCTGCAGATTCAGGCATAAGCTGAACTTTCAGTTTCTGGTTCCCGTTAAACTCCTCACAGATCACATGAGGGCTAGAACGCATAAAAGGGAAGTCGTAACAACAGTGAGCAGCACTCACTTGGCTTTGAAGCTACCATAAGACAAGTGAGCAGAGAAGGAAAACCATGAGGTAAGTGAGCAACCCAGTCTCTGAAAGATGCTTTTTTGCTATGCCATGGGAAAATAATGCTTATTATTTACATAAATGTAAGCAGTGAGGGACTTTGGGGATCCAAACAGCAGAAAATATTTTACAGAATATTTACAGGAAGGATCAAAATAAAATAAGGATGCTATTGAATATTGTAATGTTATTGCTTCTCCAACAAGGGCCAGTCTCCGTGAACGGAACTGACAGTCAGAAAAACTGTCTGCATGCAGTTCAGGGATGAAATCCAGGCTGTAGCTGGCGCCCAGCCAAACGAGCGACTGGCACCGATGCATTTGAGAATTTACTTTCTGATCTTTACTACTGTGAGGACCAGCAAACAGGGCAGTGCAGGCTCTGGGCTGCAGCTTAATGCTTAAGGGGGGGTAACACACATGCAGAGAGGCGCACGCACGAACGCTCAAATAGGGCAAAGTCAAGATGTTTATGGCAACTTTGGAAACTGCATTTACCAGTTATGTGTTGGACTAAGCTAAATTGTATTTAATCTGCATCACAAACCTCTTTTTGTGACATTCATGAATATTCATTTTCCACACATGTCTTTTCATTAATTACTCTTCACTGTTGTTTTCAGCCATAGACATTGTCATGGTTGTCAGCTGAGGCAATGAAAAAAACAACACGCATTTAATTTTGAATTGAATGGGACTACCTAAGTGCTTCAAGCTATTCCTGGTGATTTAGGAGCCAATCTCTGTTACGTGGTGTTTACCTGTAGCCAAAGTTTTCTACCAAGATGATAGTGACAACAACAGAAACTTACTTTCACTTCCCCTTCATACCAGAGGAACTGTAGTTACCTCACGTAGAGCTTTCAAAACAGGAACTATTGTAACTACCAATCAAAAACATCAGTTAGGCAGAGGAGATTATTTGAGAAAGGCAAAGAAGTCTGTCAGACAAACTTATGCATTAACAGCATTTCTGAATACCGTTTCTTCCTGACCTTCCTCCAGTACTTCTGTGTTAGGTGGTTAGGGGGGAAACATGCATTCAGTGTCACTTTCCCCAGTGTCCTTCCCACGGTCCCAGAACCTTTATCTATATTTTGGGAGAAGTTTTTTTATTTGATCACCTCTTTTGGATGGGCTTCAGCAATTATTCCCAGCAGAGGAAATATGTTCCTGAGGCCCAGAGGTCTGCCAGCTTTACCATAACGACTAGCCCTCCTCTTTTTGACATCCAGACCACCAGCTCTATTGCTATGTAAGAGGTGCCCTCATACACTGGGAAGGAGAATTAGTAAAATAACTATTCGGCTCTTTAGACCTATGGCTTCCTATAGCTTTGTCTTGTATGAAGTATTGTTGACTAGTGGCACCAGCTGAGGTATTGCCCGCTTTTGAAGTACATCATGCCTGGTTTAAAAACAAGAGTAGCAAAAAGCAAATGGAGTATAAGTAAGTCTTTCTTTGATTTCTTTTAGTACGATTTCCAAGAATTCCTTGGAGAGCTCCCTGCGGCAACTAGAATGTCATTTTACATGGGATTTGCAGAAGCAGGATGTGGATCTCGATGACCTAGAGGAAACAATAGGTGATCAGATTGAGTTTTTAATGAAAGCCAACATCACAAATTACAATCTACTATCATATGTATGCCATCTAAAGAATATGAATGAGGAAGCCCTGAGGAATCTCCAAAAAGCTGAAGAAGAAATTAAAATAAATCATCCACATGAAATTGCCAGGAGAAGTCTTGTTACCTGGGGAAATTATGCCTGGATCTATTACTACATGGAGAGATACAAAGAAGCTCAGACCTATGTGAGCAAAGTGGAAAACAGCTGCAAAAAGCTTTCAAGTACTGCTCAATGGAAGATTCAGCTTCCAGAGATCTATGCTGAGCAAGGATGGGCATTATTAAAGTTTGGGGGAAAATACTACAAAAGAGCAAAGAATTGCTTTGAAAATGCTCTGAAGAGTGAACCCAATAATCCAGAATTTAATGCTGGCTATGCGATAGCAATGTATCGTCTAGAAGATTTTTCTCACAGACAATGCGAAGACGTAAGCCAGTCCCTCAAGCCCCTGCAGCGTGCAGTGGAACTGAATCCAAAGGATACTTTCGTTATGGCATTACTTGCATTAAAATTTCAGGACTTCAATAAAGTTAATGAAGGGGAGAGATACATTGAAGAAGCAATGCAGAAAACTCCTGATCTTCCTTATTTACTGCGATATGCTGCCAAATTTTACAGAAGGAAAGGAGAAGTGGACAAGGCACTGGAGATTTTGAAAAAGGCCCTAGCAGTGACACCAAAATCTGCCTTTTTGCATCACCAGCTAGGACTCTGTTACAGAGCAAAGCTGTTCCAGTTGAAAAAGACTACAAGATATCCACCTCAAGACCAAGTGGAGGAACTCATCGAACTTTCCATTTTTCATTTTGAAACAGCGACTGAGCAAAAGACAAAGTTTTTTTCTGCCCACATTGACTTAGCAAAAATGTATGCACAAGCGAAGAGGTATGAAGAAGCAGAAGAGAGATTTCAGAAAGCATTTCAGATAAATATTCTATCCTATAATGATAAACAAGAATTCTTCTACCATTATGGCAATTTTCAGTGTTTTCATATGAAATCAGAATCTGAAGCTATTAGGTATTACACAGAAGGGCTGAAAATTGATGAAGATTCTTATGCAAGAAATAAGTGCATAGATGCTCTGAAGAAATTGTTGGAACGGAGAATTCAGAGAGGTTTAGGAGATGCAGCAGATTTTGGTACACTTGGACTCATTCACAGTCTAAGTGGTGAGAAACATGAAGCAATTGAGTGCTACGAGACAGCCCTTGCATTGTCTCCTGACAATGAGAATTATCTGAGTGCATTATGTGAGCTAAGGCTTTCCATCTCAAGCTAAAGCTCCCAAAAATCCTTCACATCAAAACAAAACCCAAGCCCAAGGACATTTCAATAGACTGTCTAAACTTTATTCTTTTTTTTTTTAAGGTTGAAGTTATAACCGGATGAAACATTTGTTTGTTCATTCACCAGAAAGCATGCTTGGAAAGATTAAATAATAGCCGAGCTATCTTAGTCTTCAACGCTAACGTTGGTATAAAGGTTGTGTTTAAGTGACTATCTGTAAAACACAGAACTTCTAAGCTGGAAATCAGATCTTACCTTCTACTGAGAAAAAGATAAGGGAATTCTATTGTAGTATTTTTCCTAAGTACTTGAAAGGCATGCTTGTACACACATGGAATTTCTGATGCTTTTTCAAATATTTTTAAAATGTCTTTTTTAGTGTTTAGAAGAAACTTTTGTTGAAGATTTGTTCTGTTTACTAACTTCTATGTTGTTTAACTATGAAAAACAACTACTGTTTGGCTACTTCACTGGAAAGCTTACAAAATATGTATTATTGTTGTGAACTATTAAAGAGCATTACATCCATCAACTGTTGCTTCTGGTACCTCTGCTGATGAATCCTTGTGTTAATAGATGAAGGAAAGGGAAATGGCCATTTGAAAAAGTAATAGGGATAAAGTTTTGGCTGGATATGCAAGGGTCGGGAGATGGCCTCATTTATTTTCCCAAACTCTCAGCAAGTCTGGCTTCAGAGGTGTTGCACCAGAGAATTAAACTGTGCACAAAACAACATCCGTCTAGTTTACCCAAAACTGCACTCTCAGGAACTGCTACAGCAAACGTCTGGAGAGAAAGAAAAGGCAGTCTTTGAGATGCCAGAGAGATGGCTATCTGTGGCCATGCTTGTGAAACAAGCCAGGGATAGAAAACACACACAAGAAAGATGCTCTAGCTGCGTGCAGCGCAGCTAGAGCAAAGAGTTGCATGAGCACTGGAGAACAGGGCAGCAGAATGCAGAGGGCTGGTGGGAGAAGGGGTGGGTGCCCACAGCGTCTATGTGAAAGGAAGAAAGGTCTGAAAGGACAGAGAGAAGGTGTGGTGGAGGTGATTGTTTTCAGATATCCAACTAAAAGTCAGTATTCTTTACAACAGACTGACCTAATTCCACACTATCATACCTTGGTATAATCATAGAATCATTTTGGTTGGAAAAGATCATCAAGTCCGTGATAGTCTATAATAGATCATGGTGCTCAGGGAAAACTAATGCTGTACTTCCAAAACACTTCTGAGCCCTAGCTAGTAGCACAGAATGAAGCAAACTGGTGACAGAGCCCATCAAGAAGGATGCAGACTTTTGTTTCCAGGCATCCTGGGGCATTCCTG